CCACCCACGCAATACAGGACCCCTTTCTTGTTTCAGATTATGTTTTTCTTTTTTTTTCTTTCCTTTCTTTTATTATTATTATGTTTTTCAAAGCCATTTTTAAAATCTCCCATATTTTTGCAAGTTTCTGTTCCACATGGGCTTTAACCTCCCTGACACTGTTAAGACTTTGTGCCGTTCTTAAAACAGTACTTGGTGTGTGTGTTTTCTATTATCTTTGGTTCATGTTCTTCAAATGTCAGAACTTATCAGACATTTTTGTCTTCTTTGAAGATTTATGTTTTGAAAGCCTTTCAACCCTATGGAATTGTACTTTTTTATAAATTATTTTGGGGGCACCTGGGTGGCTCAGTTGGTTAAGTGTCTGACTCTTGATTTTGGCTCAGGTCATGATCTCAGGGTAGTGAGACTGAGCCCTGCATCAGCCTGCTTAAGATTCTTTCTCTCCCTCTCCCCACCCCCACAGATGCTGTCTCTCTCTCTCTCTCTCTCTCTCTAAAAAAAAAAAAATTATAAATTATTCTTAGAACTATTTACTGATCCTTCACAAGTGGACTTTGTCCTAACTTTCATGTTGTTAACTTTCAAAATATTAAGTTCTTAAGAACATTAGTGAATGTTACTGGTGGTTTTATTTGGTTTGAAGAATTATGGCTGAAGTATCTTTTTCCTTTGAGCTTTTCTGTATTGTTTTAAGTTAGCTGCTTACTGTTCCCAATACCAAATTGTATTCCTTAGCTACATATGGAAAAATATGGCTTCCTTCTGTTTTTTTTTTTCATTGCCTGGCCTATATAACTTTAAGCTGTTGATTTCCAATCTTGTTAAGGTTTCAAGTTATAAAAAACGAGACAGGTAGAGAAGCTTCTTTGTTTTTCTTTTTTCACTATCTGAAAGAGGGTTTGTTTTTATTTTTCCCTTTAGTATTGAATTATGAACATCCAGATACTTTATATGTTATGTGTGGGATTAAATCTTAGTATCCCAATATAGATTACCTCTTCCACAAATTAGATTTTCGTATTTTCATGGACTTAACTTTTATTTTTTCAGTGTGCACTTAAGGGCAACTTGGGGCTGGAAGGAAAAGAACTAGAGGCTGAAAGTTTTTGTTTGGAGTCTTGTTTTAGATTGCTTACTATGTTGTTGATCACTGGAATGGTTAATTGAGAGTAATAGAAAAGCCAGGTGGTAATCTGTTCTTTTGCTTTGCTGATCAAAAAGCAAAATTGAGCATATTACATAGTTATTTAGATATAAAGAGAAGCCCAAATTTCTACAAAGTTTTTCTTGATAAAACTCAAAATGTTATAATAATAATGGATTGGTGTTTTTGTAATATAGGTCGAATAATGAGAAGAATGGCATTCTCTTTTGGAGGGATAACATTTTGCTTAATCGGGCTAAAGATATTCCTCATCAAAGTTATTTGCAGATGTTTCTCTAGTGTTACTGACTTGAAATGAGATTTTCCATATTTCATTTTTGATAATGTCTTTCACACATACAGGTACAAGAAAACCTTGGAGATATTGCAGGTTCAATTCCAGACTAACGTAATAAAGCAAATACTGCAACAAAACAAGTCAAATGAGTTTTTTGGTTTCCCAGTGCATATAAAAGTTTTGTTGATACTGTACTGTAGTCTGTTAAGTGTGCAATAGCATTATGCCTAAGAAACAACACATAGCTTAATTTAAAAATGCCTTATTGCTAAAAAGTGCTAACCATCATCTGAGCTTTCAGCGAGTCATAATCTTTGCTGGTAGAGATTCTTGGCACGACATTGGCTGCAGCTTCAGCATCAGCACTTGCTGCTTCACCTTGCACTTTTGTGTTACGGAGATGACTTTTTTCCTTAAACTTCATGAAGCAGCCTTCAAACTTCTCTTGTGCAGCCTCCTTACCTCTCTCAGCCTTCATAGAATTGAAGAGATTTAAATGGTGTTGCTCTGCATTAGGCTTTGGCTTACGGGAATGGTGGAGCTGGCTTGATCTTCTATCCAGACGACTAAAACTGTCTCCATATCAGCAGTAAGGCTGCTGAACTCTCTTATCATTCATGTATTCACTGGAGTGAATTTTAATTTTAATTTCCTTCAAGAACTTTTCCTTTGCATCTGCAGTTGGGCTCTTTGGCCCAAGAGGCCTAGCTTTAGGCTTACCGTGGCTTTTGACATGGCTTCTGACATGGCTTCCTCACTAAACTTAATCATTTCTAGCTTTTGATTTAAAGTGAGAGAGATGTGTGACTTTTCCTTTCATTTGTACACATAGAGGCCATTGTAGGTTTATTAATTGGCCTAATTTCTTTTTTTTAAAGATTTTATTTATTTGAGAGAGAGAGAGAGGGCACATGAGAAGGGAGAGGGTCAGAAGGCGAAGCAGACTCCCTGCCCAGCAGGGAGCCTGATGGGACTCGATCCAGGGACTCCAGGATCATGACCTGAGCCGAAGGCAGTCGCTTAACCAAGTGAGCCACCCAGGCCTAATTTCAAGATTGTGTCTCAGGGGAGAGGGAAGCCCAAGAAAAGGGGGGGGCACAGGTGGTCAGTGGAGCAGTCAAAACACACACATTTATCCGCTAAGTTTGCCAGCCTGTATGGGCTTGGTGCACAGCACCCCAAAACAATTCCAACATCAAAGATCCCTGATCACAGATCACCTTAACAAATACAATAATGATGAAAAGTTTCAAATATTGCAAGAATTACCAAAATGTGAGGCAGAGATAGGAAGTGAGCTAATGCTGCTAGAAAAATAGCACCAGCAGACTTGATCCATGCAGGGTTGTCACAGACCTTTCAATTCATTAAAAAACACAGTATCTGGGGTGCCTGGGTGGCTCAGTCGTTAGGCGTCTGCCTTCGACTCAGGTCATGGTCCAAGGGTCCTGGGATCGAGCCCCGCATTGGGCTCCCTGCTCCGCGGGGAGCCTGCTTCTCCCTCTCCCACTCCCCCTGCTTGTGTTCCCTCTCTCGCTGTGTCTCTCTCTGTCAAATGGGTAAATAAAATCTAAAAAAAAAAACTATCTGCAAAGCGCAACAAAACATGGTATGCCTATATTGCTGTCTAATCAATCCACAAGCATAAATTAATGAAGCATATTTATCCCTTAGAGAAGGCATTTACAGAATTCATTTGATATTTACCTTTTAGCATATCATTACACAGCAGAGTTACCACTTTGAATTGAAGGTTAGGTGGAAGCTCCTTAGATGGACCGTTGAATGGATTTTGAAATAAGGAAATTTTCTTTCCTTGCCGTGAGGTCCAAAAAATGCTTCTGGAACTGTGATTTGTCCTTAGAAAATAAATCTGCTACAAATTTGCATGGGAACGGAGCTCTCGTTTCTTTGGTAGCATAAGAAGTGCGTGAAGCAGCTTTCCTGACACTGTGATTCCAGCGTTAGTTGTTGCTGAAATGATTTTCCTGTGGTGTAAGTTTTGCATGTAGGCGCTGTTAACAAGTAGTAGGGCAAATTAGGATATTCAGCTTCTTTTTCTGACAAAAATTCAGAGAACTGGTGATGGTTAAGGCCACAGTAATGTTCACCATTAACACTACTGGTTCAGCGATATGATAAATTTAGATAGTTTCTACAGACTACCTGCTGATGAATAATACAAGGAATTACCCATAGACTTTAAACACTTTACATTTTCACAGTCTTCAGAAATTTGTCCAACTTGTCTTTTGCTGCTCTACACATACATTTAGCACCATTTCAGTTGTAGCACATCTTAGCAGATTCCACTTCAAACTGTGCTTAGTGTTTTCTCAACTTTTTTGAAATATCACCTGTAGTTGCTCCATGCAGACTATTCATAGAGGCTACCTCTGTAGTTACTTCAGACTTCTTGAGTAATCAACACTTGACTCCATGAATCAACAACTGGATAGTAATCAGTTACATTTGTCAACTCAAGGCCCAAGAAAAACCACTGAAAATCATTTGCTGTCTCTTTTGTCAATTGATTATGACATATCCCAATATCCTCGAATTTTTGAGCAGCTCTTCTCACCAAAAAGCTAATAATCTTAAACAACTTTCTCAAGGACCCATTTCTTGAGCTTCTGCAATCAAGCACAGTTTAATTAACTCACCATCAATAATACAGCTTTTCTTGCTTAGCCAACAAATAAACCACTGGAAACTTTGTGGCTGAAGCCTTGTTTTTTATTCTTGTGAGAAAATATTTGGTGATGAGATATTTTGTTCTAAATTTTCCAGTTTTTCAGACTTTAGCTTTATCTGTGAATTGGGAACTTGGTGATGAATGCTTGGTCTGATAGTATGAACGTGTATTTTCTTTTAGCACAGTTAAGTCGTGCCATTGTGTAGTAAGTCTCAGTCTTTTCCATCTCACAGCAAAATAATCCATACCCTACTCTGCCTCTGAGGGTGACATTCAGAGTGCACTTTGACTTCATTTGACACGAGAACGCACTGGTCATTTCTTAAAATGTCACGGTATGGTGATCTGCATGGCACTTGACACGCAGTCAGGTTACATCACTGCGATTCATAAGGCCCAGATCGTCCCCAGTGCAAAGCAGCGAGCGGGCCCCATTCGGTCTCTCACGTCTACTTGGCCCAGCCACAGCCAACATGTAAGTGAACGTGTACGACTGTATTCCTGTAAAACTTGGTGAACACTGAAATTTGAATTTCACATACTTTTCATACATCACAAAACATCATCTTCCTTTTGTAAACACAATCTTTAAAAAGTGTAAAAATCTTTCTTCGCTCTCAAGGAAAAAAACAGGCACAGGGCTGATTTTGGCCCATCGGCCATAGTTAGGCTAATTCCTGACCTACTTTTTTCCTAATATAACAGGGCCTTTTCAGGAGTTTTCTTTTATGAAATTTTATTCACATGAGGTCTTAAAATTCACTTCTTGACCTGCATTCTGGATTTTCACATAATTAAAACTGTTCTAGAGAACACGTGCTAACTTTGGTTTTCAAGATTGATCTCCTTTCTCTTTGTAGATAATTTTCCACTTGTTCATCAAGATGGAAAGCTCAGATTCTAACGATAAAGGAAGTGGTGATCAGTCTGCAGCACAGCGCAGAAGTCAGATGGACCGATTGGATCGGGAAGAAGCTTTCTATCAATTTGTAAATAACCTGAGTGAAGAAGATTATAGACTTATGAGGGATAACAATTTGCTAGGCACCCCAGGTATGTGATGTGTAAAGATTTATATATGTAAATTGCTGGTCTTTTTTTTTATGTTTTAAAATTTATTTCTTCAGCTGTTATGAAGTATCATTTTAATACAAGGGGTACAGAATGACATTTATTGCTGTACTTAATTGCCTGGTTCTGTTCACTCCTACTTGGAATTATCCTATATCACAACTTTTAGTTATGATTTATATTATGAATTTAGAGTGAGCTGAATTGAAAAAGTGGAACTGAACAATATTTTTGTCTTTAGTTAGCTTTATTTAATTTACTAGAGATAAATCTAAGTGTGGAAGAGCTAATGAGAGAACGTTAGTTCCTAGGACAGACTTTTTTTTGTCATCTTTGATTCCTAGATTATGTTCCAGTTGTAGTCCTCCAAAGCTGTCCTTGGGTAAAATTGTCGGTTCAGAACTTTGTGCTTGGTTATTCTCTTTTGCCCATTTAGGTCCCATTTGATCCTAATTAAAATTCATTATCTCTGGTCCTCCTCATTTCTATTTAATTCTAACATTTGCGTTATTGTTTAAATTTTGAAAGGTAAGGTGTTAGTTAGCATGACTCTTCGAAGAGGGAGCACATTTTGAGCCAACAGTACCAGACTTGAATCAGAATGCCCCAGTTGGTATTCTGGCCCTGCCAGTTATTAATACAGCAGTCTCACTTAGTTTCTTTGTTTTAAAATGCAGATAATATCTACCTCACAGAGTTATAGTTCGAAAGAATGAGAAATCGTATATGCAAAAGCATTTAGTACACTGGAAAGAAACTTGCATCAATTGTAATGTCATGCCCCCAAAGAAGTGAATTTTACCCAGGTTCCTACTCTTTGGTTTTCATCTCCATTTTTATTTGTAATTTGGCACATATTTCTAAACTATTTTCAGGTGAAAGTACTGAGGAAGAGTTGCTGAGAAGACTACAGCAAATTAAAGAGGGCCCACCACCACAAAACTCAGATGAAAACAGAGGTATATTTTGCTTTGGGGGGGTGGGTAGAGGATGAAATAGATATGGAACTCCAGGAAAGGTCAGCCAAAGATTATCCAGAAACAGTGCTAAGGAACTGTTAACAGAAAGAGAACTGGCATTTTCTTGGTATTTGGTGAGAATGTCAACATGTTGTTTTTCTGCTTCACCTTTGGGTTTGTATTAATTGAGACATAGTGAGAAATGGCCTATTTAAATGTGCTGGTTTTTTTTTTCTTGAGTTTGCACCTCCGTTGAAATTTCCTCCTACCTGCTGAATTATTTCTACCTTATAAACCTGTGCATTCTCCACCAGCAGAAAGGCTGTAGTCTCTAACCTGGTGGCTCTCAATGGGTTATATCCCCACCCCACCCCCACCCATGGGACATCGGCAGTGTCTGGAGACATTTTTGGTTGTTGTCACAGCTGGGGGTTTGCTACTAGTATCTAGTGGGTGGAGGCCAGGGATGCTGCCAAACATCCTAACATCCTGAAATTCATAACAGCACAGCCCCTACAACAAAGAATTATCTGGCTCAAAATGGAAATAGTGCCACTGTTGAGAAACCCTGCTTTTAATTTTAAGTAGGATTGTAGGGAATTTGACTGTCTAACATAAGAGGCTATATAATAACAGTTTGGTTCTTAAGCATGTCATTATATGTACCGTGCTAGGTTCAGACTATTCATTTTTGGTCTGGACTCCCAATTTCATGTTAATTTAAAATCTTGGTAATATGAAGAAGTATTAAAATACTTTTGAATCAGTAAACCCTGTTTATATTTTTGCAATGGCTACAGCAGTCTTGTATTTTAAAAGTCCGGTATTATCAAAGGCACTTAAGTCAAGATCCTAGAGGAAATGTTGTAGACTAATGAAAATGTGACAAAAATGCGATTTGAACAAAAATACTAGCCCTGTACCCTAACTGGCATTTACCTTGTTTGATTAATGTTTTGACAGAGGCCTGAAAAAATGTCTTCTGACAGTCCATAGTGGTATCCTAGGCTCTGTATATGATGCAGTTCTGAAAATAGACTTTCTCCAGATTCCCTTTAAAAAAAACTTCCTCTAAATTTCCCTAGGATTAACTTGCTCTTTCAAAATGGAATTGAAACATTCCTGCCTTTACTTGCAAATCTATGCAGTATAGTTGACAAAAATCTGTAAATGTGAAATCTGTTCAGAATCTTTGTTCTTTTTTTCTAACACAGTTTCAGAGCACTATTACATGATTGTCCTAATTTTAGTAGTTCCTTTTTTTCCCTCTCCCCTCCCTTTTTTAAAAACAGGTGGAGACTCTTCAGATGATGTGTCTAATGGTGACTCTATAATAGACTGGCTTAACTCTGTCAGACAAACTGGAAATACAACAAGAAGTGGGCAAAGAGGAAACCAATCTTGGAGAGCAGTGAGCCGGACTAATCCAAACAGTGGTGATTTCAGATTCAGTTTAGAGATCAATGTTAACCGTAATAATGGGAGCCAAAATCCAGAGAATGAAAATGAGCCATCTGCAAGACGTTCTGGTGGAGAAAATACAGACAACAGCCAAAGGCAAGTGGAAAATCCACGATCTGAATCAACATCTACAAGGCCATCCAGATCAGAACGAAATTCAACTGAAGCATTAACGGGAGAAGTCGCACCTACCAGAGGTCAGAGAAGGGCAAGAAGCAGGAGCCCAGACCATCGGAGAACCCGCGCGAGAGCTGAAAGAAGTAGGTCACCTCTGCATCCGATGAGTGAAATTCCACGAAGATCTCATCATAGTATCTCATCTCAGACTTTTGAGCATCCTTTAGTAAATGAGACCGAGGGAAGTTCTAGAACCCGGCACCATGTGACATTGAGACAGCAAATAAGTGGACCCGATTTGCTGAGTAGAGGTCTTTTTGCAGCTTCTGGAACAAGAAATGCCTCACAAGGAGCAGGTTCTTCAGACACAACCAGCAGTGGTGAATCTACAGGATCAGGACAGAGACCTCCAACCATAGTCCTTGATCTTCAAGTAAGAAGAGTCCGTCCTGGAGAATACCGGCAGAGAGATAGCATAGCTAGCAGAACTCGGTCGAGGTCTCAGACGCCAAACAATACTGTCACTTATGAAAGTGAACGAGGAGGTTTTAGGCGTACATTTTCACGTTCCGAACGGGCAGGTGTGAGAACCTATGTCAGTACCATCAGAATTCCGATTCGTAGAATCTTAAATACCGGTTTAAGTGAGACTACATCTGTTGCAATTCAGACCATGTTAAGGCAGATAATGACAGGTTTTGGTGAGTTAAGCTACTTTATGTACAGTGATAGTGATTCCGAGCCTAGTGGCTCAGTCTCGAGTCGAAATGTGGAAAGGGCAGAGTCACGGAATGGAAGAGGGAGTTCTGGTGGTGGTAGCAGTTCTGGTTCCAGTTCGAGTTCCAGTTCGAGTTCGAGTTCCAGTTCCAGTTCTAGTTCCAGTTCCAGTCCTAGTTCCAGTTCCAGTGGTGAAAGTTCAGAGACTAGCTCAGAGGTGTTTGAAGGCAGTAATGAAGGAAGCTCATCATCAGGCTCATCAGGTGCCAGACGAGAGGGTCGACACAGGGCCCCGGTAACCTTTGATGAAAGTGGCTCTTTGCCCTTCCTTAGTCTGGCTCAGTTTTTCCTCTTAAATGAGGATGATGATGACCAACCTAGAGGACTTACCAAAGAACAGATTGACAACTTGGCCATGAGAAGTTTTGGTGAAAACGATGCATTAAAAACCTGTAGTGTTTGCATTACAGAATATACAGAAGGCAACAAACTTCGTAAACTACCTTGTTCCCATGAGTACCATGTCCACTGCATCGATCGCTGGCTATCTGAGAATTCTACTTGTCCTATTTGTCGCAGAGCAGTCCTAGCTTCTGGTAACAGAGAAAGCGTTGTGTAATTAAGTTCTGAACTCTTCAGCTATGTAGCTGGTATAGTGATGGGCAAACAGGAATCACTTGCTTTATGCCCACTTTTTGAGTGGTGCTTAAATGTAAAGTAGCAACCTGAATTGAGTCATTGCTTTCTGAGTGAATCATTGTCCTTTTTCCAATTTCTGTTCCAGAATAAAAGGAAATATTTAAAAAGCAATGTTTTAGGACATAAAAATCTGATTTCAGTACCAGTAATTGATATTACTGATGATTTGTCATATACGCTTATCAGTTTCTCCTTTGTTATCTTAAAAGATTTGCCTTAGCAATGGCTCTTTATCCGTTTCACGTTGATCTTTAACGTTTCCCACGCCATAGGAGAGAAGGGCAAAGGAAATTCCCAGTTTAGACTAAGTTACAGTACATGTTTCATAAGTGATTGCTTAAAGCTCTACCATTCCCAGTTCTTAGTTGGCACAAATTCAGCTACATGCTGAATATCATTTGTTCACCTTTCAGATGAGGTGATATTGGACGTCAGTGTAAATAACACTAAGGTTAGGATCTTCTAAGTGTATAACTGTCTCCTAAGCCCATCACTGTGGCACACTGTAGAGTGAGCTTATAGTTTAATTGAGATATTTATCTTGTGGAAATATTAAAAAAGCCTATGCTTGTGTAAGTGAAAAAAATCACATTCATTTGTTTAAAAATGTAAAGCTATTTTGTAGAGGCTCAGTACTTTTCCAATGCACTGTTGTATTAATGCATTAAAAATTGTAAAGTACCATGCTTAGAAATGAAAAAAACTGCTTTTTGTGAGCCAACATAGTAAAAAAAAAAAAAAAACAACACACCAAACAAAGTACAGAGCTGCTTTTGTAAGTGTGTAGATGTCAAGAGCAGAACATATCTAGTATTTAATGTATGTGAACAGCTACTGTGACATGCAAAGGAAAGGACAGAGTGCAGAATTGAACTGCATTGAAGATACCAATGGAAACTTGGTACTTTAACTTGGATTTAGGCAGGAAATGAAAGACGGGAGGAGTCAAGAAAACTGCTCTGAAGAATTTAAAATTTTTATGAAGACAGTAATCATACAGACGGGAACTGGTTTCATATGGTGAGGTCCTTGACACAGTATTCTGCTTGCGCTGATGAAGTAGATTAAATTTGGTAGAGTTTTGGTTAAAAACAAACAAACCACTACCACGTAGCACAAGTTACATCGATGTTTTCACAAGTCTGCTCCTCAGAAAAGGAAAAAAAAGAAGGTGGAGGAAAAAGACTATAAACCACTTTTAGCATAAGAATTGAAGTTGGTACAGATGTGTGTACTAATAGGAAAGTCTCAAATTTGCGTTATTTTCTAGATTTGTCATTTAAGGTACCAGTGCGCACTTGTTAATATTTCATTACCATCTAACACAGACCTAACATCTTGCATTTAAAGGCCAATTGAGGAACTAAGGGATGTTTATCCTTTGTTGAAAGTGAATCATGTTGGGTCATTGAGATTCAAATTTTAATGGTGCTGCCCATATTTGAAGATGAGGCTGCTGACTCACAATCTATGGGACACGCATTTTGTGTTGTTTCCTTAGTAATGAGATTAGGTTTGTGAAGAACCCCAGTACTCTTGCCGAATTTCTCTTTTGAGGCCAGTTGGGGTTAGGATTAGTCTGACTGTGGAGGATTTGTTTGTTTATCTGGGAGAAGATAGTGTACCCAAATAGGAATTGAACACATCCTTGGTCTTTAAAGTGAAAACTACCCATGCATAGTCAGATACTCTATAAAATAAACAGGTCTGCTTCAGGAATTATCTGGCTACCTTAACTGTTATCAACTTAGCTGTAAAGGTTATTTCAAAGCTCATCCTTTCATATTTTCCTCTGGCTTTCACTCCTACCTAAGTATCAAGGAAATTAACTTGTAAATATGGTAGTTGTTTACTAAGGATATGTACTGCTCTTGCAAGGAAATAATGTCCAAACAAAGCTTCACTTATTTTTTTTAATATAAGCAGATTTCACTGTTTATGGCGCTTATGTAATACATTTTATCTTTTTAAAAAAAATTGTCCATGTAAAAGTCAGGATTCCTTTATATTTGTGAGCCTCCTTATCTCCTTTCCTAAGGGTGTAATTTACGATTTTCAGATCTGCAGGGTAGTCCTGATTGGCTTAAAACCCATTTTCCTCTTGGTATAAAACGTCCCATTATAAGGGTGTTCATTTTAAATAGTTTAAAAACAACTGCAGCACATTCTAAGCATAAAACAAAGTTATTGACAACAGGTACCTCCCTAATCTCCCAAGATGTATTACTCATTTGTGAAGTATTAAAGTAAGAGGTAACTCATGCCGAATGCTGGTTATGAATGTAGATATTGAAGCTATTCATAAACACTGGAAATAGAATTTTAAGTTTTTAGCCTTCAGTAGAATGCACATACTGGACATGTGCATGTGGACACCTTTTTCAATAGCACTCATTTCCATTGGATTGTGTAGAATGGATACAAATATTTTAGTGGAATTTGCTACTTAATTTTTTTTTTTTTTTTACAAAGTCCATGACTATACTTATTAGTGTTGTGGACATTGAAGACAAAGTCATTTGTAGGTGTCAGATGTACGATGGAGAGCAAGAGGTTTTTTTTTCCCACCAGCATCCAAAACACCTATTCTCTTGAGGGAGCATTTTCTTGCAAAAGACTTTACATTTCATTTTGTATCTTTGCACTTTTTTCTTTATTACAGAAAGGTTCTGTCTTGAAGACCTAGTTTGAACTTCATGCAGTAATAGGAACAAGAAAAAACAATGTTGGGAAATTACATTGTTCGAAGCATAGGGAAAAATACTGAAAACTGAGTTTCCTTGAGTATTTCAGATATTTTTAAAAATTCACTTACTGGTATGAAGCATTTGAGGTGTTAAGTTGTTTAACTCCAAGCAGCTGACAAGGTTGAGATTTATTAATACTAAAAACAAAATTGAGCAAGTTAGGTTTAAAGTGTGCAAACTTTATCTATAGCAACACTAGAAGATGAGCCATGTTGTTAATTTGGAATATTTGCTCTCAAAAGAACACATTAGTTATACCTCAGTGGTGGTAATGGTTAATGGAGGTGGGGGTTGAGAGAAGTGTTCACATTAGTGTTGGAAGTGTAGGAAATTATCAATTGTACAGTAAACAAAGTTGTACCAGGATTTTATATGTGTGGTGTGTGTGTCTGCACACGCACACACATACGCACATCTAATCTCTATAAAAACATGATCGTTGAGTTTACCCAAACTTTAAGATTAGGAAACTGCTTAGCTATAAGTGTTACCTCAAATAATTTCCCCCCCCTTGGGAAAACATGTCCTTTCTGTGCCAAGTGTTCTCTCCTAGTGTCTGTCTCAGATTGTATTTATGAAGGGTTTTCACCTAATATGCTTTTTTTGTTTAACCACCTGCTTCCCAAATGTCTGTGACTTGAACTGGGTGAAGCATCAGTCATGACTTTCAGTCAGTTCCCAAAATACCCATGTGATAGGGAGGTGAATATTGCAGAATGCCTCTTAAAAGGCCATTTTTACTGCTTGCTAGAATACAGTGGCACCTTGTGGTGGTTGTTGATACTTTTCTTTTAAAAACAGAGGATATTCCCTCCACCCCTTTTTATTCTCCTTTGTTCTTCTGTGAACACAAAATATTAGTGATCTGCCTTGAGTTTTTCAAGTTTTACCTTACTGGCTTCCCTGTCAAATGTATTATCAATATTAAGTACAGAGAAGCCATGTTTGCAGGGCACTTTTATTCTTCTTATGAGACTGTGCTGATTGCTACTTTCTAAAGTATTCTGTACCTTAGTGATGCAAGAGGTTGATAAGGCACATGTGAAAGTGTCAGGCATTTTTTTTTCCCTTAAGTATAGTATAATTCTTCAGTATGTTTACTATTCAATAACAGTGTTGTAATTCATGGAGTTAACTAGTAAATTGTATGCTTTTGAAAAACATTTGAAAATGTAAATCAACAAAAATAATATGCTTCATTTGGAAAGTTAAAAGTACAAGGTCCGAGGAACGAGTATTTCACTTACTTTGAAATTGGATTTTTAGGAAGCAACTAAGAAAGAACTATGAGTTAAGTACTTGCCCTTTAAAAGTTTTAACATTTTGAAATTGAGTTCTTAACTAGAGCATTTCTAAAATACTATAATATTCCCAACAGGTGAGTGATCTCACTTGATTTAATAACTCCACTTTGTATTTAAAATACAGCACAGAATAGAGCTGTTATTGAAGTGTTGGAACTCTCAAGGGATAACAGTTTGTATCAGTTTTTAGGATTATTTTCATGTCTCTGTAGATGTTTTCATTCGAATTTGAAGGAAATGAACACTCTCAAACACAATTACAGTGAGATACTTGGTTTTGATTAGGATTTGTTTACTAAAGACCCACAAGCTGCTTTATAGTCACCTGGATTGAATGATAACCTTAAATACATGCAATGGAAGTGAACCCCACCATACCACTGTGCCTCGTTATTTCAGGGTTCCTCTCAGTTCCTCATCTTGCAGATTTATTCCAATACCAAGGTATGGTTGAACCAGCTGCCCAGCCTTAACTCTGTTTAGTGCCCCTCTGCTAACGTTCTTTTAACTGATTGATTTGTATGTGTTTTAACTGTCCAATGTTTGGATTTTACCTCTTGTTAGCTCCATTTGTCCCTGGTGCTGCTTTTAAAGATATAGGGCCATGTGATCAGGTATCAAGTTGAATAGGTACGCGGTTGGCCTGGTTATGTATCTGTGCCTGTTTTATCTTCTCCCAGGAAGAGCTGCTTTGGTATAGATGTTTACTTGGATTCATATATAAAGAACTGGGCAGCAATCTTAGAAAGCTTTCTGAAGCCAAAAGAACCTGAAGGGATTTGGAGGGGGGATAGTAACAAAAGCTGCCTTTATGTCTTTGAACATGAAGCACATAAATGTATGTTCTGTAAAGACTAAAGTGATTGTTATACCAGGGCTTCCTGACCTCTGGGAGAGACTTTCAAAACAGAAAGGAGCACGAAGTGAAGTGAATTTGGTCGGCTTGCTTTATCTGGTTTCTCATTTTCTTTCAATTTAAATCTGAACATAACACCCTTCTCCAATATCTATCCAGAAGACTCCTGGTTGGGAAGCCCTGTATTAAATTTTGAGAATGTACCCAGTTTCCTTTTTTTTTTTTGTACAGTGCTTTATACCTGCTAAAAATTAACTTGTTTAATGCAAAACAAGACCTTGAAAGGTCAGTCATATTAAAGCTGGTTTGATTATTAATAGTTATCTTTTAGGAAGAAGCTTTTTCCCTATGTAAGATGTCATACTGCAGATTTAAAATATAGACTATCAATAAAATGCATGAAGTGATCATTTGTGCTTGATCATCTCTCGGGTTTTTCTTTAAAAGGGAATCTGATCTGATCAAAGTTCTGTTGCCTCCAACCAATGTCAAACAGACTTGAGTTTTAGAGTCAAGTGGAATTCTCGTGCAACCTTGATTTTGATTTCCTCGCTGCTATGAGTTTGAGCAGATACTGGTTTATGGAATATAACCTCCATTTTATGTTGTGTAGTTTAATGGCTTAGTCTTTGAGTGGTAAAATAAAAAATTGAGGTGTATTCCAATACAAGAATCCTAGAAAGACTTTTGTAAATGACATTTTAAGTAGGTGCATCTTTGCTGTTACTTGTATTCTCACCATTGCCCTGCCTACTCTCTTGCTTGACCTCTATAAATACAAAAACTTGTCTAGGTGTGTAGATGTGCTCATGTAGCTTTTGTTTTCTGTCCCTATCTCCAACCTCTTACACGTGTTGCTTAAACCACTAAGATGTCCTTGTTTCTTAAGTAGGTTGTCACATTCTGATACCTGGGTAAGACTTCGCCCTGGTACTGGTATTCGTTTAGCCGATGGTAAATTTTATTAGTTTCATTTCCTCTGGTGCCCACCAAGCCCTATCATTGGCATAGGAACTCAGTTCCTTGGAATAACTTTGGTGTGGTTGGCTCTTTGCCTTATGACTGTCCCAGGGATTTTAAGTGCTGTTCATGATTCTATTCTTTGAAGCTCAAGACTGCCACTGAAAAGGACATTTTTGACAACAAAGTAAGCCAATGCACAGGCATCTTGAGAGAAATTCGGTGGAAGGGACTATTGCCTGGAACAGGATCTGGTTAATCAGAGTGGAGTGGGGTATGAACTGTACTTTTAATGATCATTTAAAAAAATAGGAAATCTAGGGTCCAGTTTCTTTGAGGTCTTTGAATTCAGGCAAGATTTAAATGTAAGGCATTCCAAATGGATTGCTAACATAGCTGTATTAAAAAGAGCTAACTTTTTCTGATTGCTGTGAGACGTATCAGGCACTATAAATTATTTAATTCTCAGTGACTCAGATGCGTTATTACCACCCTGTTTTATAGGTGATGCAGATGAGATACAGTCTTTGGTAATTTTCCCAAGGTCACATAGTAAGTGGCCACGTATTTCCAGTCATCTCTGATTCCAGAGCTTATTTTTTTTTTAATTTTTTAAAAGATTTTATTTATTTGTTTGACAGAGACACAGCAAGAGAGGGAACATAATCAGGGGGAGTGGGAGAGGGAGAAGCAGACTCCCCGCTGAGCAGGGAGCCCAATGCAGGGCTCCATCCCAGGACCCCTGGGATCATGACCTGAGCCGGAGGCAGACGCTTAGTGGCTGAGCCACCCAGGCACCCCATCCATAGCTTGTTTTCATTGTAC